GTGGCACACTTATGGCCATTCCAGCGTCAACCTGCTGTGCTCTGGCAGTCCTTCCACCTCAGCCTTCCAAATAGCCAGAACTACATGTGCGTGCTACCACGCCTAATTTTTCAGTATATTGTAGAGACAAGGTCTCGCCAAGTTGCAGAGGCTGTTCCCAAACCTGTGGGATTATAGGCAGAGACCCCAAGCCTGGGTTTTGTTTTTATCTTTTAGCCTTTTGACTTAGCCTTTTTGCATTATTTCTTTAGTGGTTGCTCTGGGGATTGCAGTTGCATCCTGAACTTCACAGCATACTTAAGCATAGAAACCTTGCAACCACACAGAACCACTTATCACTGCCCCCTGGTCTGTAAGGCAGGGCCTCCCACCTGCGGCACTCCTCTCGCTGGATGGTGGGGCACTTCTGCATTGCTCTGCAAAATGTTGAACACTATTGGTGGTCTCCACCCGCTAGATGCCAGTGGCTTCCCCTTAGCTGATAGAAAGTGTCTCCAGATCTTACCAAATGTCCCCTGGGGGCAGGATTGTCACAGATTGAAAGCCCCACAGATGATAGCTGTGAGATGTAGATATCCTGTGTGTTACATCTGCTTTTTGTGTTTTTCTTTTTTTGAGTAGGGGTCTCACTCTGTTGCCTAGGCTAGAAAATGCAGTGGCACAACCAGAGCTCACCACAGCCTCTATCTCCTGGGCTCAGGCGACCCTTCCACCTCAGCCTCCCAAGTAGCTGAGACTACAGGTACCTGCCATCAAGCCTGGCTAATTTTTTTATCTTTTGTGGAAATGAGGTTTCACTATGTTGCTTAGGCTGGTCTCAAACTCCTGGCCTCAAGCAGTCTTCCCACCTTGGCCTCCCAAAGTGCTAGGGTTGCAAGTCCTAGCCACTACGCCCAACTGTGCTTTTGTTTTAAACTCACCAAACAATGTTGTGATTTTTTTTTTAATTTAAGCAGTTATGTGTATTTTAAAGAATATTAAAATAAAATTTTTAATGTTTCTCTAGATTTGCTGTTTCCAGTGTTAAAGAATAGAGCTTCTCTCTAGTGTCACTTCCTTTCCACTGGAAGAACTTTCTCTGGAATTTCTTTTCTTTTCTTTTTTTTTTTTTTTTTGAGTTGGTGTCTCACTCCATCATCCAGGCTGGAGTGCAGTGGCCCACTCATGGCCACCTCAGCGTCGACCTGCTGGGCTTCGGCAAATCTGCCCCAGCCTTCCAAGTAACTGGAACTACAGGCGCGCACTACCACACCTGGCTAATTTTTTATTTATTGTAGAAACAAGGTCTTGCCAAGTCGCCCAGGCTGGTCTCGAACCTGCAGGCTCAGGCAGTCCACTCACCTCAACCTTCCAAAGTGCTAGGATTACAGGCTGAGCCACCGAGCCTGGCCTCTGGAATTTCTTATAATGCAGGTCTACTGGTGACAGTTTCTTTTATCTGAAAGTGCCTTTCTTTAGCCTTCATTCTGAGTGACAATTATACCTGAGCTGTGGTGGGCCCTCATTAATGGAGGCTCTGGCAGAACTGTGTTTAGAAAGGCAAAACCCACAACTGGGCATGCAGGGAGATTGTGTCCAGCTTCATTGGCTCCACATGGCAGGGCCATGTTGCCTGTTAAACGATGACTTTCCATGCTTTTCCAGCTTCCTCGTGTTCACCTGGTATCTCTGGGGCAGCTGTTTATTGCCAGGCACTGTTCTAGGCTCTGGGGATTCGGTGGTATGCGGCTAGCTCCTTCCTTCCCTTCCATTTTAATGGAAGGAGGCGCAATTTAAGCACATAGGCAGTTAAAAAAGGTAAGAATCTGAGAGTATAAGAAACACAAGTAAAAGAAGGTGATAGAGATGACACTGGGGATGCCACTGCTGCTTTAGAGGAGGTGGTCAGGGAAAGCCTTTGAGCTGATGGGAAGCAGCCAGTCACACTGAGGGCAAAGCATTCCATGCAAAGGGCATGGTGAGGACAGCAGCCCAGAGGATAACGTGGGAAGCCTCTAGAGGTCTACAGGAAGAATAGTAATGAATGACTTAATAATACCAAGCGCCTTCTAACTCATGGTACATTCTGTCCTCACAGTAACCCATTGGGGGAGGTGCTATTACCTTCAAGCCGAGAAGCTGTGGCTTGAGCACCAGAGCTGCTTTGCCCCAAGTCAGGGCAAGATTCATCCCAGACAGCCTCAGCTCCAGGACCTGCCTGCTGGCCACGTCTGGAACTGCCACCAGGAGTCAAAATTGGGTCTTTGAGGCAGATCTGGGGCCAGAGACTGACCCATCTCTTCTTTCTCCAGGTGTACAAAAGAGCCAAGGCACTGGACCAGTCTGACAACGACATGTCTGCTGTGTACCGAGCTTACATACACTAAGTTGTGGACACCCTGCCCCAGTCTTCCTCTGACCCCCTCTTCCTCACCTGGGGTCAGGGGCCTGGGACTTCACTCTGGACCAGCCCACCTGTCTCCATTTCCTTTTATACAACTTTGAGACTTGCCATCAGCACAGCACACAGCAGCACCTTCCCCAGAAGCCTGGGAAGCAGCCAGGTGTCAGGATTGGCTTGTGGGAAAGTTCCTGAGCTGGGCACTGGCCCCGGACTAGGTGGCTGTGTGTTCTCTCTCTCTCTCTCTCTCTCTCTCACACACACACACACACACACACACACACACACATACACACACATACACATACACATACACACACACACACACACACACACAGGCTCTCGCCCAGGATAGAAGCTGCCCAGAAACTGCTGCCTGGCTTTTTTTTCTTCTTCCAAGCTTGTCTTATCTCAAACACTTTGCAGTCAAGGAACTAGAATCAGCAGTGAGAGCTGGAAGCCTTCCCACAGCTTCCCCCAGAGCGAAGAGGCTGTTATTATGTCCACGTCCCCCATGGGATCCCCTGCAAAGAGAGGCTCTGGGCCCAGACGAGCCAGCACAGACTCCAGACAGAGGGCCCCATGGGACCTCCGACCTCAGGTGACCAGCGGAGAAGGATTTTCATGTCCAAGCTACCAGTGTACAACTAGCTCCAGAAACACCTTTGTGATCTAAAGCGAGATTGGCAAAGTCCCTGGAAGACAGGGCTCTGGCTTTCCAAGGAGAGCTGAGCGGACCTGCAGGTGAGCCCTGAGGCCTCACCCTGCTGCTCTCAGCCCCACCCCAGACTCCACCACTCACTGCTGAACTGGGCTGGGTCTGAGGCCTTTGCTGCTGAGCAGTGAGAGCCTGCTCCTCAGTGGTCTGCTTTAGTATTTGGATTTGCATTCCAGCCCTTGGGAGGGGGCCTTTGGGGCCACCAGTGTTTCCGTTAGGCCACAGACTCTTCACCTGGCCCTGAAGAGCCACTCTGACCTCTGTTCCTCACAGCAGTCCCACCTTCTCCAGTCTGCCCCTGCCAAGTCCCCTGCATGCCCCCCACTGCTCTTCATTCTTCTCCCTTCCCCCTGTTCCTCCCATGGAGACAGCCTGTCTTTCTGTATGTCTGTCCCTTCTTTGGCCAGACCCCAGCCAGACCAACGATGAGCTTAGGCTCAGCTCTTGACACGGGAACGAGTGTCTTCACTCCAGCCAGCATCATGGTCTTCAGTGCTTCCCAGGCCCTGGGGTCTATTGGGAGGGAAGAGAACTGGGCTGGACCTGCCGGAACTGACTGACCCTCGGAGGTGGGGCTGGACATCCTCCAGGCCTCAGCATTTCTCCTTAGATAGGGGACCCGAAGGGGCCTGGAATGTTGCGTAAGAACAAGAAGTTACCCAAGGGATGTCAGTTTTTTTCTCCCTCTGCATGGGTTGGATTTTCCAAAGTCACAGTTTGCAGAAGGCCACGTTTAAAGTGAAATGTAGAAGTGTGTGTGTGTGTGTGTTTGTGTGTGTGTGTGTGTATGTGTATGTATGTATGTGTATGTATGGTGGTCACACTGGTGTGGGTCCCTCCCCCCCCACAAATGGCCCCTTTCACAGATTAGAACCTGGGTTAGAGGATTGCAGCAGACAAGCAGGGAAGGCAAGGAAGGTGCCTGTCGGTTTTTAGCACATTTGTTAATTTCACTGGGATTTTGAAGCATTTCTGAACACAAAACCTGTTCTAGCCTTGGCAAGACACACCAGGGGTGGGGGTGGGGGAAGATGCTGTAATGAAACCAATTAGTCAATGTTGTCTTAATATTGTTGACAATTCTGTAAAGTTCCTCTTTATGAATATTGTTTAAGCTATTTCACCTTTGTTTTGAAATCCTTCCCTTTTAAGGCGAAAATGTGACACTTGTGAAAAAGCTTGTAAGAAAGTCCCTCCCCCTTTTTTCCTTTAAACCTCCTTTAAATGACAAATCTAGGTAATTAAGGTTGTGAATTTTTATTTTTGCTTTGTTTTTAATGAACATTTGTCTATCAGAATAGGATTGTGTGATAATGTTTAAATGGCAAAAACAAAACATGATTTTGTGCAATTAACAAAGCTACTGCAAGAAAAATAAAACGTTTCTTGGTAACACAGCTGTGCCGCGTGAGTCTGTTGATTCCCATTCCCGCAGCGGATAGAGGAAGGGCCGGGAGGCCGGCACGGTCTGGTGGCCAACGTTCAGGACTTCCGCGTCCAGGGGACCACCCGGTCCGAGGCCAAGCACAGGTGGCGGCTGGCTCCGCCGCGGCCTCGGACCTGTGACCCCTCACCACAGGCCAACGGGACAGGCGGGCCATTGGAGCAGCCGAGCGGGAACAGGCTGCCCTGCCAGCCAATCAGCGAGCGCGAGCGGAGCAGAGCGCCCTATCAGAGCAGGGAGGAGGCGGGGCCAGCAACCTCGGCGCGCCAGCCCTTAAGAGCAGCCGTCCTTGCGGCGCCGCAGCCCGCGGCTCTCCGAGATTGGTGCCGGCGGCGTCGTGGGCTAACCTGCACAGGCCGGCCTCGCGCAGCCGCCGAC